TTGCCCACTTTTTAATTGGGTTGTTTGTTTTTGTTGTTGAGTAAAGGAGACCTTTTATGGACAGCCTCATATGTGCTGAGTGTTGGGGGGCAAAATTTAACAGAGAGAGATGGATGGAAAGAACATTCTAGGCAGAGGGTCCAGCAAGATCAAAGGCATGGAGGTGTCAGAGTGCAGTGTACATTCAGGTTTTTTCAAGTCGCCAAGCTGTGTCAGATCATAAGTTACAGGAGGGAAGCAGCCAGCACTAAGGCAGGAAAAGCAGGGCTGCCTCACCCTGTGAAGAGGGGGAGTGAGGACACTGCAGTGAAGGAAGCCACCCTATGGAGCCATCAAGAATGTGGAGATCATTCTACCAGATGCAGGGCTGCCCTCATCAATGTCCCCATAGTGCCCATGGGACACTGGATGTAGTCCAGAGGGGTCTGTTAAGAGGTTCTGGAGGCAGCTTTCCCTGAGGTTTAGTTCTCAGTGCCAACCAAAAATAATGTTCATTCAAAGTAAGTCACAGTGCCAACCAAAAGTAATGTTCATTCAAAATGGTTTCTGAAAAGTTCCCAGGGCAGCGCCACTGTGGGGCTCAACATACCATCCTTTCCTAGGCCCCATACACCAAGGCCTCCTCAGGCACAGGTGCAGTCTCTCTTCAACTGCAACCCACATGAAGTTGCTCCCTTGATGTTAGGGACCAAATTATGCAGAAGATACTTATCTTTGCACACTAGGATCACATTTGGCCCATGGAAGTGTACACACCATTAGAGAAAGGCAAGATCCGAGGCCTCTTGAGGTGTATCTCTTTGGATGCTTTGGGCCACACACCACCGAACACCTGACCAGCAGGAGCTTTACCAATAAAGGTATTTTAGTGGTTTATGTAATAATAAGTCTGGAGAAAGGTAATACTGTACAAGGTTAATATAGTTCTCTAGGCCTTCCCTTTGTGGTCATAGGAGGGCTGTAGCAGCCCTAAGCATCATATCTCTACGCCACAGTGTCCAGGGGAGGCAGGTAAAAGAAGAGACAGAAAGGGGGATTTCTCATCAGTGCTCTTTATCATCTAGGAGAATATTTCCTGGTTTCCAGGTACTTTCTTTTGCATCTCATTGACCAGAACTAGGTCACACACCCATGCCTAACCAATCACTAACAAAGAGCATGAGACTTCCATGGTAGGTGTGGTGCTGTGGTTCTTATGCCCCTTATCCCTGAAGCAAAACAAAATTGGTGTTTGTCAGCCAGAAGAAAAGGGAATTGTTGTGCTGCAAGAAGGACCAGCAGATTCTCCTGGGCTGTATCACACTTTTCTGGAACATCTGCTCATGGAAGACAGCGTAAATCATTTCATGTCAGCCTACATTTTATTTTATATGTAAATTGTTATTTTATTTATCGAGTCCAGCACATACAGGTGAATTCTCATGAGTTGGATGTCTGTGGGCTGAAGCTTCACTGTCTTAATTTTGGTGCTGATACCTTCATATGTCTTCCCTGGGCTTTATCCCAACCTCCAAGAGTGGAGTGTTCTTTAGTTCCTCTGGCCTAAGTATAACCTAGTTCTGCCTGTTGACCTTGAGGCCCAGGGATATGACTGGTCCCCTGGGGCCGGGCCCTTTCTTTCCTATCCTCTGGACGGCCTCCCTGTTCCAACTATAGAAAATGCTGTGCTTGTGGCATGCACACTCATAGATCAACATGTATCACAATGGCCTAGGAAAAGAGCCATCAGCTAAGATGTAGCGTAGCAGTTCAATACATTAGTTCTTTGGAAATCACAGAAGCAAATTAAGCTTTTGCTGATTTTTAAATTCATACACAGCAAGGGAAGTCAACAAGTCCTCATCTCGTGGGAGGGAGACTGGTATGGGGTTAGCTGGAGGGTTGTGTATAACTTACTGGCAAAAGTGTCAAGCTTCTTGACACTTGTTAACCTATGCATAGGCTTTGGTGGGAACATGGACAGGACATGTTCTGCCAGTTGCAGTTGTGGATTCTGAAGCAATAACTGCAGGAAGAAACAAAATTAAGTTTGTCTGCTTAAGAATCATAGAGACTACAGTTGTTACTTATGCACTGCCCACCATTCTGGCCTAATTTCTAGCCAACACAATAGCGATTATGCATACCATTAAATATATGTTGGATGAACTCAGTTAAAATTTTTAATTAATCACAGCCTCAAATCTGACTCAGGCCTGCTCTGACTTCACAGATCACTGCCTAGATTTGCAGTTATCTGCTTATCACCATGGCAGTCTACGCATAGCTCAGTGAAGAAGAGAAGCTGGGCTGCTTGGCATATAATTTCTAGGAGGAAATTATGTTACATGAGATTGGAGAGAATGGCTCTGGACTTGGTTATGTTGTACCCAGTGAACGTATCAGGTGAACAGCTCTCCTTGGTCACCATGTCTCTTGCCTGCACCTCCCCACTGTTATTCATGGAGCCTCCAGTGGCCTGTTCAACCTTCATGGAGAGCCTGGCTGAGTTTCCACCCTTCCCAGATATTTCAGGATCCTATAGTTATCCTGTTAGCTTAAGGAACTCAGTAGTAGTGGCAGCTTGTTTTCTCTTTGAGTAAATGAATGAACAAACAAGCTAAAACAAAGTGGCCTTTTTTGTTAGGATTTTTAGATTACATTTTAGGGCTGGTCCTAAGAGGATATGAGAACTTAGGGACAAGGCTGACAGTAGCATAGGGGAGATAGCTGTCACCCTATATTCCTCAGCAATTTTTCTTTCTCCTTTATCAGAATCTTCATTTCTTAAAACCAGAAAGCAACCTGGATGATCTGAGTTTTCCCCTGATCAGGCTGCTTTTTGCCCACTCAGAAGGAACACTAGCCCCTTCTGTCTGACCTCCTTCTGTTGACTGGAATCCACCACCCATACTGATGGTCATGGGATGATTTCTACTAGCATGTTCCTAGGACCCTTATGCATGCATAGTCTGAGAAAACCTGTCCTGCTGGTGCATGGGACTACAGAGTCCCACCGTGCACTGTCCTCACTGGGAAAGGGGTTCTCCTGATTCTGTTTCCATGTGAAGACAGCTGAACTGTAACTGTGTAGACAGTCACTTTTATCTGAGTTTCTTTCTGATGGAAATAAATTGTATTATGTATGGAAGGAGTGTGGTTAGGGCCTCATGAACTCTAGTATCTCCTCAACATCTTTCTCTTCTCAATTGTCCATCCATCTGTGGATTTCCTGGTTTACTAGAGGAAGTCCAGAATTGACTCTGCTGTCTGTAAAGAACCATAAAAGGTCTGAAATTTTACCGTACTTACAAACTAACAAGTTAACCTGCCGCTGTTTCATGGATGCTGGCAGAAGACATAAGACTCTTCCCTCAGAGACAAAATACTTTATTACTCATGGCAACAGCAGTAGCCAAATGTCAGCATTTTCTTGTGCCATTTTCTGAGCTACAGTTCCCACAGGAGGACATGACGATGGCCACACAATACCCATACTTGCAGTGGATTGTGTAATGGGAGAAGATCCCTGGGCTTCGGAAACCCGGTTATTTTATCAGGGACAATAAACATGTCTGTCTTTTGCTCCAAAGAGGGACATCATCTCATTATACTAGACAGTAACTCTGCCTGCCTTTGCCCCAGCAGGAGACAATATCGGTCTTCCAAGGCTGCTGTTGGCTATTCAAATATCCATGAAAGAAAGTCCAGAACAATCAGCAGCCAATGCCTTACTTGAAAGACATGCAGAAACATGAGCAACCCATGGAGAATTGCCTCCCAACATTGTTTTTGTCTTGACCTCATCTATACATTCAATTTGATTATTCCACACACGTTTTACACCTACTCTGAGCAAGACCCTATCCTTGGAGCTTGGGATACAAAAATAAAACACATTCTTTGCCCTCAAGAAGCTCACTCTCCAGTAACATAGATAGGCAATGAATAGAGAGTAAGGTAGGATGGGATGAGATGTAAGAGAGAAAGGTCTAAGGGGATGTGGAAGGCAGAGGAGAACACCCAACTTGGCTTAGAAGGAATAGGCATTGAGAGCTTTGTAGAAGAGGTAAAGTCTAAGTGATGTAGTCATTAGCCTGGCACAGATGGTTGAGAATGAGTGAGCACTCAGGACAGGATGAAAGGCAGTTTGACAGAGCAGCCATAGGGAGGGGTTTGGAGGGTAAGTAGCAAGCCTTGGGGGAAAAGGTCATGACCAGGTGAGGGGCTCTGGATGACACCCTAAAGAATTTCAACATTATCCGGAGTGGAACTGATGGGGAAGGGATTAAGCAGGGAATCAGCATGTTAATGTTTGTGTTGAAAGATCCCTTGGGCAGCTACGCAGAGGATGGATCAGAGGTGAGACTGGAAAAAAGAGATGGGCTAGGAGTACATTCAGATCCAACTGAGAAATAATGAGTCCCAATCTAAGGCAGGGACTGTGCAGTTTGAGAGAGGGATGAGCAATAAAGATATTACAGAGGTGGAACTATCAAGGCAAGGGAGGGAGAAGAGCCACATGGCTGCCAGTTTTGTGATTTGAGCACTAGAAGGGCCATGGTGCCGTCCCCTGATGTCATTATGAATAATTGCTTCTGCATTTTGCTGCTACACAGGGAAGCCCCCAGGGCTGTAGATGGCACAGGATGCTTTCCCAACACTAAGTGTGGCATATTGCCCACTGTTAGACTGGAGTGGGGGCCTTGGGATGGACCCCAGGTTGGGTATGGGCAGAGGCAGGGAGAGAATAGAGGAATCAAATATTACCTCTAAGGTGAGAATCAGGAATCAGGGTCCTTGGATAGGACTCAGCTAAGGCAGCAGAGAAGTTTATGGGGTTAAAACAAAATTTAAGTTTGGAAGGGAACTGACACCCCAGATTAGGAGGCAGAAATTCTCAAAAGGGAAAGCAAACTGGGTAAAGAAGAAGTGCCAGATGCTGAAGGCAGTAATGGGGATGGGAGGGTGGACAAACCTGGGGCTCTGCTATTTTGACTTGGGGAATATTTCTTCCACAGCTACCTGCTTCAGCCTAGATCCTGCCATGAAGTGGGCTGCCGCTCCCTGGCTCCCACTCTGATCCACTTTTCACTCTTACCTTGTCTCCCAATGAATAAGGTAAATATCTCTTATAGTCATCTTCCACTCTGCGTTAGACCCAGTGGGAGCCCTGCTCTCAGGGGTTTACAGTGTGCTAGGCAAGGAAAGAGTAGGGGCTCAAAAATATAGACTAAAAATATTTGTCTGTATCTAGACATATAGTATGTCACCTTTACAAGGTTAGAGGAGGGAGCTCTGACTTCCAGGTGGGCCTTGCAGGAAGCTCCACAGGAGAGTTAACATTCTAGCACTAAGAAATGGCCCAAGAAGCAGGAACATGCAGAAGACATGTTAGAGAATGGTAGGTGATCCCAGCTTGACGATGATACGGAGTACTTGTAAGGAGTAGAGAAGGTGGGTGAGAGACAAGTAGGAGAGGTAGAGTGAGGCCAAAATCTCCATTTTCCATATGGGTCACTAAGGCTGAGACTGACCAATTAAGTCATATAGTAAGCACAAGGCTATTTGCCAGATATTTCTGGCTTTCTACCTTCAGCACATAGAGACCAATTGTACTTTCTAGCTCACTGTAGTTGCATGGGATCTATAGAGGTGACATGTGGCAATTTGGGGCCAAGCGTAAAGTTGCTGGTGAGGGACTTTCCAGAGCCTTCTTTTTCTCTACTATTGTGACTAACTGCATTCCATGTAGTGTCTGGTCTATCATCCTGAGTCATGGATTGAGGGACAATTTTGTCGATGACACAGAGCAGAGCCTTCAACCCGTGTGGAATGGGTATATATTATGAACATGAAATAAACCTTTATTGTTTTAAGCCACTAAGATTAAGTGTTGCTTGTTAGTGCAGCTTACCTGGCCTCTCCTGATTGATACACTTAGTCAAGGTAACTCGGTTAGGAAGTACTTGTTGGCTTTGATTCCATGTCTGTCTTGTCATCAAGCCAGTGTCAGGCAGATGCCCATGGACCTTTAGGGGCCCATAAGCAGGGTCAAGTCTGGAGCTGTAGATTTGGACATCACCTACACAAACGTGGAAGGAAATGGAAAGAAAGTAATAGAGATGTAGTCTGTGGGCTTTGGGGGTGAGGCTTCTTGTCCTCATGTTCTTTCTGTCCCACAGGTTTGTAGTCAATTCCACGTGGCCTATTGATAAGTAGGACATCACTGCTGCCTGCAGGGTCTGGTGGTTCAGAGATGCTGGCTTGAGTTTGTTGACAGCTGCACACTCATAACATTGCTAAAAACTTCATAAACTCTGATGTCTGGAAATAGCCCAAGTGATTTGAGGTTTTGCTCACTTGTAAATGTTTGAGTATTGTGTCCACAAATTGCAAATTGAGTAACTCAATTTTGAGGCACAGCTGTTATTTGGAAAAGACCCATCTAGGAACGCAAGCTCCTTGCAAAATAATTGTGCTTCATTTTTGTCAAGTATCAGAAAACCATTAAACTGCCAAGCCATATGGCAAATGCCCACTAGAAGCAGAGTGCGACAACGAGCCATAATGAATCTGTTTTGGGGGAGAAGTAGATGGGACAGCGTCTGGTTTTTGTGATCTACAGAAAAGATTCACTGCTGTACATTTCAGCCATCCAGAGTCCTGAGTAAGGATTTTTCCTCCCATGAAAAATTCCTGTAGCAAATTAAGTTATGGTAGTTTTTGTTTTTTCCTTAGGTGAATTTTTTCCCTTTCAAACAATGTCCATTTGAGTTTCTGCGTATAAAATAGACTTAATGGGGGCAACAGAAAGTTCTAAAAGTTTACATACTTTTCCATTTTTATATACTAGCCCAAGAAACATTCATTAAATATTGGCATAGCAGTTAGAATTAGGTTTAGCTGTGTATAATAGAAAAATGGAAAATAATGGTGGCTTTGAAGATCGTTTCTCCCCCAGGTAAAAGAAACCTGGAGGTAGGCAGCCTGGGGCTGGTATGAGAGCTTCAGGGTCATCGAGTCCTGGTTTTCTCTTGACCTATTCTTTGTCAAACCTGGAGTTGGTTCTTGTCCTCAGGGTCTAAGATAGCTGCCATACTCCAGCTATCACATTCCTGGTAGCAAGAGTAGAGAAGAGGAGAAAGGCATGCCTTTCCCTTTTAAGGACAGTGCCTGACCTAAGATCACTGGCCAGAGGCATGTGGCCTCAGCCTACTGCCAAAGACATTGGGAAAAGTAGCAATATGCCCAGCTGAAGGCAGGCATTCTGTGACTAAAGAGAATGGGAGAATGGATATTAAGGAGTCACCAGCAAACTCTATCCTACCAGAGGTCCTTGATGCTTGTTCTTCCTGCTAGAGTATAACCTTCTTGAGGACAGGAACAGATTTTATTTACTCCTCTATCTCCAAGGCACTAGCACAGTAGCTGGTAGGTTGTGTTTTTAATTTTCTGCTATTTGCATTCCTAACAGCAGACCCAAAACACTCCTCACCTTCTAACCCCCTTTTCTGCCTTCTTTGTCCAAGTTGACAGGTCAGCTATGATTTGAGGCATATTTATTTTTCATCATTAGAAAATGTTACTTCTACCAGAATGATATTAGACTGCCTGTTCCTGTGTTTTTCAATATTGACTCTAAATTCCAGAGACAAGAGATACTTAGAGGAGGATTGTTTTATTGGAGCTAGACAAACGACTACAGCATTGGTACTTGGGCTTGACCTTCCTCATCAGCACCCTTCAGTGGTGACATCTCCCAGGCTGAGCTGGTCTGAGTGAGCTGACTAATGGGTAGAAGGATGCCGAATGTGCCGAATGTCCAAGGGCTGGCAGGTCTTGATCATGGGTAACTAGAAAAATGGGAGGTCTTTTTCAAACAAGGTAAAGAACCGCCTGGAAGCTGGTATATGGAGTGGCAAATTATGTTTTAAAGACAATGAAAGACAAAGGAGCTAATATTTCTGGAGAACCCTCTATGGGCCAGGCACTGTGCTAGTTGGGTCACCTCCAGTAACCCTCATGAGAGTTCTAAGAGGTAGATATAATTATCTCCATTTTCTGTGTGGCTCACTGAGCCTTGGGAGGTTGATTGGACTCTACCAGAAAGCAAGCACAAACCCTTCCCTTCCAGGCATGTTGAAAGAATTAGCATTGATGTGTGTGAAGTTTTTAGCACAGTGCCTAGCCTATTACTCAATAAACCCAGTAGCAGTTACTCAGATGTACTTTATTGCAGCAATTGAAACTAGTTCCAAACTCATGAGTATGGCATTGCAAGAGATCTCATTCCACTTCTTGTGCTCCTTCAAATCTTTTGAAATTTCTCGAAACTGAAGAGTGGGCTGCCTGCTTTCCTGGGAGTCTCATAATGAGGATGAATGCTTAATTGACATGTTTGTGTCCTCCAAGGGGTGGCTGGCAGAGGATCCTCACACTGACAAGGAAGGCATGCTTTGCTTTTGTTTTTAGCAGCATTGTGTGCCCGTAGCGACAGCAGGTGAATCCAACAAAGTTAAAAGGGAAAAGTACTGGAGTTCGCATGAAGGTTGATTGCCCTGGAGAAGTCGACACACGCACAGATGGAAATGGTTTCACCGAGTCCTGAAAAATGTGGTCGTCAGCCCCACGTACAAACCATGACTTGTGTTTTCTTTAAGATGAGGAGGCTGGTCAAGAGGTCTGTGTAATGAAAGATGTTTGTAGAATCCATTTCCATTCTGCCTGAAGCCATCTGCTTTATGTCTATAATAAACAGGGATGTTTTCAGCCACTTTCCCAGGCCTGGCCCGTTAGAAATGCTCACCGCAGGGAAAGGTAAATTAACTGCCTCCCAAACCATGAGCATTAGCACATTACATCTGCAGTGACGGCACTTAACCTTCCCGGGTCGCCTTCCTTACTGTGCCTCTGTGACGGCCTGTGACAAATGGGCTAAGGGGTGCACACTAGGTTAGAACTTAGTACACATGGAGTATTGGCCAGCATCACATTACATGGTGAGCCAGGTGAGATGTGAGCAGTGGAAGAGACCATATTCCAGGAGATGGAGGCTGCCTGGCCTTCTCCAGCCAGAAAGACCTGAGGGCAGCTGGGACCGTCCTGAGACTTTCTGATATACCCACTGTCCCTGAAACTTCCTGATGCACTTGAGTACTCTTTCTGAAACACAGACTGAGCAAGTCACATCGCTGTTTAAAATCCTTCAGAGGCTTCCTCCTTGCCCATAGGATAAAATCTAAACTCCATAGGCACCCAGGGTCCCTCGTGATCCTTCCACACTCTGCAGCTTCATCTTGAGCCACTCACACATCAGCTCCTGCCCACACGTGAGCCATACTAACATCTTTCAGCTCACCCCCCACCTTCAGCTGCTGTGTCTAGGCCTTTGCAGCACTATGCCTTGTGCCTGACACAGTGTTCGCTATCTTCCCCAGCATCTCAATTCCCTCTCCATTCCTGCTGTAGCTGGAAAGTCCTTTCTGACAGCCTGCCACTAAAAAGTGTGTTAACTTCCTATGGCTGCTGTAACAAATCACTGCAGCCATAGGAAACTCATGTGTGGCTTAAAACAACACAAATTTGGCCAGGCGCGGTGGCTCATGCCTGTAATCCCAGCACTTTGGGACGCCAAGGCAGGCAGATCAGCTGTGGTTGGGAGTTCGAGACCAGCCTGACCAACATGGAGAAACCCCATCTCTGCTAAAAATACAAAATTAGCAGGACACGGTGGGACACACCTGTAATCCCAGCTACTTAGGAGACAGAATCACTTGAGCCTGGGAGGCGGAGGCTGCAGTGAGCCGAGATCATGCCATTGCACTCCAGCCTGGGCAACAAGAGCAAAATACTGTCAAAAAAAAAAAAAAAAAAAAAAAAAAAAAACCCACAAATGTATTGCCTTCAAGATTTGTAGGTCAGAAGTTTAAAATGAAGGGGTCTGCATTCCTTCTAGAGACCCTGGGGACAGTCATTTCCTTGCCTTCTCCAGCAGCTAGGAGCCGCTTGCATTGCTTGGTTCATGGCCCCTTCCTAGCACCTCTCTCTTCTCTGACAACTGCTTCTTTCATACATCTCTTTCTCTGTTTATGTAGCCCCGTTGCTGCCCTCTTTATGGG